AAACTAGGATTTTTTACAAAATTCTCACCCAAATGCATAAATAATGCATATTGTACCCAAGCCATTGTCTTGTTCGAATAAGAAATTAATAAAATAAGTATATTTTATTATCTTCATTAGTACTATTATTGTATTAGTGTAGACAAGTATAATGCAAATAGATCTCAAAAGCAAATAAAAGTAATAATAACACCAAACCTAAAGAGATAAAACAAAAGTAAGACAACACTTTTGTCATAATTTCATAAAACAACAAAAAACAAAGCCCTAAACATTGAAAATCTATTTTTAATCTACAATACCGCATCACAAAACCCAACCTAATACAAACAGTATTAAAATACAACATTTAACCAATCAAAAATCATAAAAAATCAATATCAAACTAAACCAAAAATACATTTTAGGTTATATAGACAAACTTAAAATCTACCTCTTAAAAAATCTAAAACCAAATGTCTTAATTTCTAAATTAATTTTTACTTTTATGAACCAATTCTAATGCCCCACTTTCAAACCTTGAACACATACTATCACTAATCTAAACCCTAAATTGATTAGCCTAATCCCATATTTCAAATAGAAAACCCCCAATCTAATCACACTTTCGGAATTGATTACCCTAAACCCCCAAATTCAAACATTAGATATCACACTCTAATCCCACAATTTGGAACAATTACAAAGACTCAATTTCAAAACCTAATCCTTTTTTGCTTATCGGGTAATTTTTTTTGTTCTTAAACCAACAATTTTTTTCTTTTATGAAAAATAGTGATGACTTGAAGAGTGAAAAATAATATTATTTCTAGGTTATAAAATAAATATATATACAAATGTATAAATGGGTTTAAATCCCACAAAATATATCTAAAAATAAAGCCCAACCTTATAAGTCAACTAAACATAATATACATTTTAACAACCCTCTCAAACTGAAGATGGTTCAAAATGAAACATCTGGAGTTTGAAAACTAAATAACAAAAACGTGAACTTGAAAGAGATTGTGTAAAAGATTCACCACTTGTGATTCAAAAGAAATATGCAGTAGCATGATGGTGCCTTAGCGTATCTCTTGTCTAATAAAATGACAATCTATTTCAATATATTTCATCTGTTCATGAAAATTAACATTATGAACAATTTGAATTACACTCTTACATCATAAAAGAGTGGAATAAAAAAGGCATGTCAACAACTAAATCCAAAAGTAACTGACACAACCACATAATTTCTACTGTAGTGTATGATAAAACTCTATACTCTGTTTCAGTACTTGAACGCGCCACAATTGTTTATTTTTTGCTTTTCTAAGATATCAAAGAATCACCTAGAAAAACACAATAACCAATTGTAGAATGTCTATTATTAATATCACCAGCCCAATTAGAATCAGAAAAAATATGAAATTCAAGTTTAGAAGTTGATAAGAACAACAAACCTTTATGTAATGTTCCACGTAAATATTCCAATATCTTAAGAACTGCAGCAAAGTGAATTGTTCGAGGTGCTATCATAAATTGGTTTACAACTTGAACTGCATAACTAATATCAGGTCTTGTAACTATCAAATATATAATACTACAAACCAATTGTCTTTACAAAGTAACAACATTGATAAGTTCTCCATCAGTAGTTTTCATTTTGACATTAGTTTTAAGATGAGTTTTAATAGTTTTTTATCAGATAAGCTAGCTTTAAAAATAAAATTAAAAGCATATTTTACTTGAGACAAGACATATCTATAAGAGGAACAATCAACTTCAATTCTTAGAAAATATCATAATGGATCAAGATATTTCATCTCAAAGGTTTTGTTAAAATAATCTTTTATATTTTGAATACCAAGGTTATCATTTTCAATTATCACTATATCATCAACATAGAGAAGCAAAAATACAATACATTTTTCAAATTGATGAATAAACAATGTTAAATCGTAAGAACTCTACACAAATCCAAAGTCAAGCCTAGAATGCTATATTGAAAAGTGAAAAACAATATAATTTTTAGGTGTTAAAATACATATATATATATGTACAAATGTATAAATGGGTTTAAAGCCCACGATATATATCTAAAAATAAAGCTTAAACTTATAAGTCAACTAAACATAATATACATTTTAACATAAAGTAACTTCTCAAAATTATTTTTTTATCTCAGGTTAAAAAATAAATGGTTAATATTTTTTGTTTGAAATTGATATTTGATGTGAAAATTCGATTACATGATGTGAAATTTTAATAATAGTTAATGTTATTTAATAGGCCAATAAAACACATTAACTTGTTTTCTTACAGTGTTAAGCTTTGAGGTACACTGAGTTATGAAATTAAAATTTCAGTATCAATGTAACAAAAATATAAAGTTAAAGAGCCGATTATGTATTTAACCTAACCAAAAAAAGTTTGGATAAAGCCGAATCTAAATATCAATTAGGTAAACGTCTTGTAGTAAAAGGAGTAGTTATGAACTTTATAAACCATCTCTACGGGGGTGGTGAAGGGAGGGCTCCATTTGGTAAAAAAAAATCCACAACCCCTTGGAGTTATCTTGCACGTAAAAGAAAAAATAATAAATAAATAAATATAATGATAATTTGATTCTTCATTGAGAAAATTTATTTTCTCCTCTTTGCTAAAAAAATGACATGTTCACTAAATAAAGTTCTTTTGTGGCAAATTATTTATTAAAAAAAATGCTGTGGACAGAGGAGAAAATTGTCTTTCGACTTAAACTGGGAAGACAATTTCCAAGACTCATCGGCTTCGTATTCCCTTTTGAGAATTTAAGACAACAGTCTACAAACCACTGAAGCAATCCACAACAACCACTCTCTTTTTTCCTTCATTCTAACAACATAAAAAAAAACACCAAAATACTCTGACTGCGAGTTTCTTCTTGCAGTCACAAAGAACACTTCGACTCCGCCAATTGAGTTCAATAACAGAATATAATGAATCTCAAAAAATAACAGAAAATAAATCAATCCTTGTTTTGAAGAATTTTGCTCGATTTGGATTTAAGATCATGATTTGGGTTAAGATTGGAGTTTGGGTTATGACACTGTACTAGTATTAGGGCGGCTTGCTACTTTCAATAAGAAAAGGAAAGCTGAGCAAGGGATAATCTTCATAGTAACGATGAGTAGTGCGATGAAGTAAGATTTTGGTATTTTGCAAGATATTGTTGAATGAGTGAAATCAAGAGGTACAAGAGAAGGTGATGCCGAGAAGAGTATGGAGAAATGAAAGTCCATGGTCGCCAAAGTTTGCAAGATGAAGCTAGAGTTTTCAGATAAAGCGGGATAGGTTGAAAGAGAAAGGAATAAAAAGGTTGTAACAATTAAACAAACACCTAAATTGATTTCTCTAAAATCATCCAAGCACCAAAAAACAATAATAATAATAATAATTTTTTTCTAAAATTATTTTCCGAAAGTTTTTTTTCAGGATACCAATCGAAGCCATAATCTTTGTTGATGTATTCTATTAAAATAAAATTTTAAAATTTATAAGAATATAATTTTTAAAAAAGAAAAAAAATAGATAATAGGACAAAAATACGATATGATAGGAATGAAAACAAAAATAGGACAACAATGGGTTTTAACATCATATAAAATTTTAACACATCATATGATATTAGATTATGCTGAAAGTCTATTCTTGTGCCAATTTTTTTTTTCTCAAAGCAATTGAATAGAAATTTAATTAAACCATAAAAAAGTTAGATATGTTATTATGATTGTGATTAAAAATATTGAAAAATATGAAAAATATAAGAATGCTATTGTTTTTTAAAAAGAAATATATATATATATATATACATTGTAGAATAATAAATTAGGTAGTAAAAGTAGTATTTACATACTTCATTTATGTGATTTTAAAGAAATTTTTTAAAAATATGAAGAGAAAATTTTAATACATGTGTGTTAAAACAAAAGATAAATTGAGAATAAATTTTTTAATAAAACCAAAATCATAAAAATAACAGTAAAGTTTCGAATTGAACAAAAAACTGTGCACCTCATATAATTTATAGATGTTTAATAGATATGATTATCAAGAAATTTGTGAAGATAAAAGAAAAAAAAAAAAACCTTTTTGAGAAAATTTAATTAAAAAGGATTTCTCTAAATAGAAAAATCTGAATAAGAAAATTAAGAATAAAAGATTATAAAGAAATTTGTGAAGATAAGAAAATCTTTTTTGAGAAATTTAAATTAAAAAGGATATCTCTACATAGTAAAATCTAAATCAAATAAAATGAATTTAATTTTTGTAAAAATTAAAAATTATCGTATCACAATTCATATGCACATATGAAACACAAAACATATTTTTGATTTTTGTCAAATTCATATAATTTTTATTAAAATTTTAAATTGTATCACTTTTATATATTTTCATATTAATAGTGTATGATCATGTTGTATTTAAGCTAATTGTTTGATATCTTCGATGAACAGACCTGCTATCAGATTGTAACTTGCAAAGTTTTGGAAATTTTATAATTATTAAAAAAAAAGTAAAAAAAGAGGAAAATGTGAATTAGCTAGAGGAGATAGGATTGATCTATCTAGCTAGCAAGGATCAAGCCCAAAAACTCCTAAAAATCTCATAATATGCTAAAAACATCCCTACAAAAGCGGGTTGAAACTCAGTCGATGCTGGCTTTTTCCATGCAGAATCCGTTTTACCTAAAGCCTCTTGACATCTCAGTTTAATTGGCCGCTTGATGCCTACATAAATCACAAAAGTTATGCCTATAATCTTCACCCAAATCAATCACAACCTTTCATCAGGTATCAAATATAACCTATTTCACCCAATCTATCATCAGCCAAGGTCTGACTCTATACAGCAGCCTATATCGATCTCTCCCCGCATGGAATTTAAGTTGTTTTATGCACTAAGTAAAAGGATATATTCAAAGATATATAAAAGCAAATTTGGACTCAAGCGCAAGGAGAAGTAAGAGAGAGGTATATATGGAGAATTCAAGCCATTCTACTTCCATGGTGGAAGACCCAGCGTCTCCTCCTGCTAGAATGGGAGGATGGAGAGCCATAATGTTCATAATAGGTAATGGACGATGTGATTTGGATTAACGCTTTTGTTTGTGTGTTAAATGTCTTCGTATAGCCAACAACCACTTGATCTCATGGTAAAGTATTTTATTTTTACTTTCAGTGATCAGAAACGTATTCAATCTTTGACAACCTCAAATATAAAAAAATAAATAAATAAAAAGTTGTCTTCATATGACTTCATATTTGATTTTTGTCATTTGAAGGGAACGAATCTTTCGAGAAATTGGCTTCCATGAGTCTGATTGCCAATATTGCAGTGTATCTGAGAACGGAATACAATATGGGAGGTGTCACTGTTGTCAATGTGGTTAATATCTGGTCTGGCTCCTCCAACATTACTGGTATAGCTGGTGCCCTTCTTGCTGATTCTTATCTGGGCAAGTTTCTTACCCTCCTCTTCGGCTCCATGGCATCATTTCTGGTAATGTGTTATGCTGATTACTTGTTCGAACGTATTAGCAGATTAACCTAAAGGTTTTCCCTTTCTGCATATTTACTTGATTTTTGTGAACGTTAGAAATTAAAGATGATAAGTCTATTCAATTTCCTTCTGTTGTCTTGCAAGCTAGCAGCACTGCAGCAGTTATTCATATATAGTGACATTATTTAACCATAGATACCAAAAAATCAATGAAACATTTTGGAATCAACTTTTTTTTTTAACAGGGCATGGTTACAATGACACTGACTGCTGGTGTAGCTCGTTTTAGACCGTCAGCTTGTCAAGGTGAATCCTTTTGCCCTCAACCTCAAGGCTGGCAACTTGCTATCATTTTTGCAGGCCTTGGCATGTTATCAATAGGAGCAGGAGGCATAAGGCCCTGCAACATTTCCTTTGGTGCTGATCAATTCGACACTTCTACAGAGAAAGGAAGACAACAACTAGCGACTTTTTTCAATTGGTGGTACTTATCCTTTACTGTTGCCCTCGTTGTAGCCCTCACTGCAGTTGTCTACATTCAAACCAATGTCAGCTGGGTTATAGGCTTTGCGATCCCAACAGCTTGCCTTGCTTTGTCCATTACTATTTTCTTGATTGGCTACAAAACTTACGTTTTAGTGAAGCCTCAAGGAAGTATATTTGGGGACATACTCAAGGTGATTGTTGCTGCATGTAAGAAGCGTCGCTTTACCATTGCATCAGGTTGTGATTACCCTTTTTATGATCCTCCTCTGACAGGACCAAATCCTTCTGCAATGAAGCTCCCACACACTGATAGGTTCAAGTTCCTTGATAAGGCTTCTATAATCACCGATCCAAGTGAATTGGACAATCATGGTATGGCTAAGAATGCTTGGAGACTATGTAGTTTGCAAACAGTGGAGCAACTGAAATGCTTAGTGGCAATTTTGCCTGTTTGGGCATCAGGAATTGTTTATTCCATAATTATGGACCATTGTACTACATTTGGCATCCTTCAAGCACTTCAGACGAGCAACTCAATTGGTTCACATTTCAAAATTCCGCCAGGCTGGATTAACCTTGTGCCAATGCTTGCACTTGCGGTATGGATCTTGATATACGAGTGTATTTACATCCCTCTGGCACGGAAAATAACCAAAAAGGATAAAAGATTGACAATTAAACAAAGACTTGCAACTGGTTTAGTGATGTCAATTCTATGCATGCTGGTTTCTGGGATAGCAGAGAAAAAAAGGCGAGATTCAGCTTTGAAACATGGTTCATTTGCCTCACCCTATAGTCTTGCATTGCTGTTGCCGCAGTTTGTCATAGCAGGTTTGGCAGAAGCATTTGCTGCTGTGGCTCTATTGGAATTCTTGACCACGCGAATGCCGGAAAGCATGAGGACGGTTGCAGGTGCAATATTCTTCCTCGGCATATCCATAGCAGGCTACCTAAGTTCCCTCCTTGTCACAATTATTCACAGTATAACCGAGAAGACGGGCAAAACACCCTGGTTGGGTGGCCGTGATCTTAACAAAAACAAGCTTGATCTCTATTACTACGTCATAGCTGGTCTGGGAGTTGCAAACTTGTTCTACTTCTTTTTCTTTGCCTCCCATTATGTGATAAATACAGTGTGATAAATAACAGTGGTGACAAGAGAAGGAGAGAGGTGGAATTAGAGAACCCTGATGCTTGTGACAGCTGATGAAGAAAAGCCGGTTGAAATTGCATGATAGTAACTGATTACCCATAGTACTCTACAATATATAATCGTCAAGATTTGATTTCCGTCACAGTTATCTCAAAATCTGATAGTGATAGTTGAATTTTCTTTATGAACTCTTTAACTTGTATCAAGTTAGTAATTGCAATGATACCATATTTTTAATTAATCCTCTATAAGTCAAAATAATCCCAAGTAATACTTAGGCAATTGCCTGCAACCTTGAGCATGAGTAAACTCGTATAATGGGGGATTAATAGGGATGGCGATGTTCATTTTGCATTGCTAGGTCTTATTTGGCATGGGAAAGCTTTTACAATTCATGACCAAATTTTGCCTCTTAGTCTGGTGCACTTGTCCAGCACAAGTGTTAATGATAGTATTTATATCTATCTATAATACATATAAAGGACCAATTTCAAAAGTGCAAATAAACATATATATACCCTTGATAATTTATTAAAGTAATTATAATTATTTATCTTTAATTAATATTTTTTATTAAATTAAAATTAAAATACTAATGTCATAAAAAATGTAAAATATTGGCAAATTTTTTATTTATTTAAATCTTTATTAAAGTAAACTTTTTTTATTAATAATTTTTTATATTAATTAATTTTTTATTATTTATTTTAAATGATTATTACTCATAATTTCCTTATAAGATTTTTTTTTTTACCTTTTTCTTCCATTTTAGCAAGGAATGAAGGAATCCTTGGATGTATAATTGCGTGCAAAGTACACAAAGCAAAGAGTACTATACCAGATTTGTAATATTTTATGGATCGAGTAATTTTAAATATAGTATAAGATTTCAATTCACTAATTTAACAACACAAGCTTTCGAATCTCTTCATCATTCTTTTGTTCATTTTATACTTTGAAAATTCAAAATTTGTCCAATAGATGAAAACAAAAGGCAAATTTGAGCATGAAAGATGTATTAATTACTTGATTTTTCTTCCAAATTATCATAGTTATATATATGGATATGCCCAATGATCTCCATTAGTTAATAGAATATTCTGTCAAATAATGATATTTTACATTAAGATAATAATATGAGTATTTTTTATTGATGAATGGAGATTAGAAAAAAAAAAGTATAACTTAATGTATATGGTTTTTTAATATTTAAAAAATAGTTAAATGTTAACATCAATCTGATTTATTGATAAAATATTAAATTTTTAATTTCAATTATCAAAATTTAATAACTATGAAACTTTTTTAAAATAATAAAAAATTTTACCAATTTGATCTGATTATGATAACTATGAGTCAAATAGATCAAAAAACCAAATCAAATAATATCACATACCACATTTACTAATTTCTTTTTTCTGGCAGCATGTGTTTTTTCTAGTGTGTGTTTGATAAAGCTGTTTGGGGGCTGGATAGCACATGGTTTAACCATTTGGTGGATATGTTTACATCAGACTGATTTTTGGATGCATTTCCTAATATGGCTCATTCTCAAGGGGTACTTGACTATTATTTCTTCATATTTTGGCTGCTTTGGAGGAACAGAAACCACTGTCAGCATGAGCGGACATGTGTTTCCCAATCTACGATTTGTTTAATGGCAGCAAAGATAGTGGAGGAGTCCCATTGCTTACATGATAAGCAGGGATAAGTTTCTCGCAGCAAAACTTCTACTCAGCGATGGATTTGCCCGCCTGCAGGTTTGTTGAAAAATGAAAATCAATGTGGATGCAAGCTTTCGCGTGATTGTGTCCACGACAGGGTGGCCTCGTTGGGAGTTGTTGAGAAGAATACTGGACTGGTGGAAGTGTATGCTTCTGCGCCGTCACTAGAGTTGCCTCGGAGGAGAGTGCTGTCCATGCTGTGATGATATCCTTGTTAGTTGGCTAGCAACTGGCGAGGGGGAAAGGATTTAACTCGATAAAGCAATTGTCAGTTTGCACTCAATGAAATTTGGAGACAAGGTGGAACTTTTTGAGAGTGCAATACTCGTAAGTTTCTCTATGTTAGAAGATGTGCTAAAGGCTTTGCTTATAATTTAACTATGATTACCAGTGAGGTGGGGATCAGAAGTTATGGTGGAAATCTCTACCAGATTACTTTTGTAACTAATCCCCATATTCTACTTCAGAATGATAATGAAGTTGTTAATATTTCCATTAAAAAAATTAATGTCACTTCCAAATCTCTTATTAAAAGCAAAAGAATAAAGAGATGCATAACATATTGTTAAAATGGTATTATCCCTTAGCATTGAGTATCTTGTAATTTCATATTTAAGTTGGACATTTTCATTTATTATCAATTGATTTTAAGTTAAATACTCAACCCATGTTAATGCTTTTTTATTTGTCATTACAAGTATATGGTATTCTTCCGTTTATGATGGAGTATTTAATACTACGTTCAGAAGAATTTCATTCTTTTTTTATCTTAGCATAGCTTCTTATTGGAATTTGATTGGAATTTGATGAAAAGTCCCATGTTTTTCTTTATCCAAATCAAACCACATCATATGACAAAAACAAATTGTAGTAGCAATTCAACCTTATGACAAATTATGTTTCATAAACCAAAAATTTGTTTAAAGCATTGTCAATTTGTGAAGACATGATTCACAAACTTGATCGTTGCATTACTTATATTAACAAGTACACCAATCAAGTTACTTTTAATTATTTCTCAATTATAGATTTTTGTTTATAAAAGATTATTTTTTTCATCTTTGACATTTTTATTGTAGATATCATTGAATCAAGGAAAATATTATATGCAAGGATTGCGTATATGTTTCAAAAAAAAAACATAGACTTTTCAAACGTTGATTAAAATGCTCAACTTACCTGAACATACTTTATAGCATGCAATGATGGATGTAAGAATTTTTTTGTGTCCACTTATTGTAATGGATATCTATGGAATGTTGGATTTTTCTGGTTATGGGTTGTGGCTGATATTGGGTAATGATAGTGAGTGGAGTGATCAAATAATTAAGAAAGATGTATTCGGAGAAAAATTTTAGAAGTGTCCAAATAAAAATTTTGAAAGTGTTGAGATAATTTTTAATTTTTTTTCAATTTTTAGGAATGTTCATGAACATCTTAACTAATCATTTACATATATCATGGAAGCAAATAAATTAAATTTGGTTTAATGTTTAATGTAATAATTATTTATAGAATATGTTGTACTTTATTGACTATAATTTTATATTAAAATAAAATTATAATGTAAAATTTATTAAGTGTTAAATAATTTATGTAAAAAGTATGTCTTGTAAAAAACTAGTTATAATTAAAAAAAGATTAATTATATAAAAATTCAATAAAAATATGCTTTTAATTTTTAAAATATTATTTATTTTAATTCAAAATTTTTATAATTTTATCATATAAAGGATGCATGTATGTGTTTAAGATGAATTAATATTTGAATAGAAACTTATAAATCTTGTACAAATAAACTTTCGACAATGACATTCTAACAAACGACAAAAACAGGAATGCCACTTTCTATGCATAGTGGGAACCTGGCGGTGAAACTTATCGTGTCCAAAGGAAGGCGGGGCCCGACTCTTTCAGGCGTAGAAACAATCACTTCCAAACAAAAACGAAATTGAAAAATGATCACACGCAAGTCTCCAACAACTATGCTGCAGTAAGTGAATGAAGTGGATGAGATGGTCTATGATTTAGAAAAAGCTTGACCCGATGACGATGATGTAAGCAATAAGCTGGACTCTTCACAATTGCAATTTGGATACAAAACGACAAGCTAGGGACCCAGCACCCGGTCATTCTGTCAGCCTCAAAGTCCATTAGCAAATCCGGTTCAAAAAGCTCATAATATGTTGATTAGTGTTCTGACGTTGCCCCTAAATTTTGGCCAGGACTTTTCTTCGATAGTAACAACAATCACGATTATATGGTGTTGACTTGAAGAATCAATAATGGAAAATATGTTCTTTCTCTATACAAGCCAGGATTCTATCATGTGATTGGAATTCACCACGATGGAAGGTTATAGATGGTGTAGCATCCTCCAAGCAGGATCATGTCAGTGTCACATCCAATATTTGCTGGATTCAAGAATTTGAGCTGCTATTTGCAGCCTCCAGAATCAGACAACTTATTGAAGAAGCTGAAATTTCAAAAATGAAATCGAAAGGGTAATTTATCCCCCAACATATAGAGATGTCTGCCCATCCTCTCCATGATTTTTTTGACGAAAAGTAAATGTTTTGCAGTTGAGTATTAAATCCTCATGAAGGCTTAGCTATCCTTAAATTAATATGGTTTTTTACTTGTGAAAAGTTCCAATCCAACAGTATTATTGAACGTACCTCAACTTTGATCTGTCTCTTTAATAAAATGGAAAGAAGTATCTAATTAGATAAAAGCAACATATATAGAAAACATTCAAAGGGTCAAAAAATAATTACTCAAATTTTATAATAAATTTATTTAAAATTAGTTAGATATTATTTTATAGATAAAAAATTTTATAAAAATTTTTTAAAAAAAATTTTAATAAGTAAATTTGACTTTAAAAAATTTAAAAAAAATACATATTCTTAATAGATAAATTTATATCCTTATAAATCAGTAAAATTTTTATAAGATTAAATATGAAAAAAATATATAAAAAAATTATAAATTTTATAATATAGATATCTTTTAAGATTACAGAAGATTAATATTCTTATTAGTGTATATATTTAAGTAGATTAAAAGAGAATGATATAATTTACATAAATATGGTGGTGTGTATGTTTGAGTAGATTAAAAGAAATTGATATGGTTTATGAACGTATGATGCATGAGTGTATATGTGTATCTGTTTGTTTGAGTTAAAAATATTTTATAAGATTAAAAAAATTAAGATGATCTATAAGTATTAATTATTTATATTTAATTTGATTAATTA